TCAAGAAACAACTGAAAACATGGATGTTTAGGCAGGCCTTCCCCTCCCCAGTTAATTCCTAATTTTCCCTCCTCCTTTTCTATTATAACATACTCTGTTTTCTTGCCATCTTGGACAAAAAAACTTTTTTTTCTAATTTATGTAAATTTTATATATAATTGGCCAGATATGCGGGGTATAAATGGAATGAATGAATGAATGAATGAATGAATGAATGAATGAATGAATGAATGAATGAATGAATGAATGAATGAATGAATGATAAATAAATAAATAAATAAATGAAATTTGACCAACTGGCTGGATAGCTCAGTGGTTTAGGTGTCTAACTGCAAAGCAGAGGTTAGCAGTTTGATTCCCCACTATGTCTCCTGCGAGTAGAATTGGCCTGGGTGGCTTTGGGCAAGCTGCACAGTCTTGAAAAGAAGGAAATAATAAACCACTTATGAATATTCTTTACCTGGAAATGACTTAAGGACATTATTATTATTATTATTATTATTAGTAGTAGTAGTAGTAGTAGTAGTAGTAGTAGTAGTAGTAGTAGTAGTAGTAGTAGTAGTAGTAGTAGTAGTAGTAAAAACACCAGGCACAATCAAGATTATAAAAACATTGAGTGGTATATTAGTTTGATGTTGATGATGATGATGATGATTTGACCAATGGCCTTGAAGACAACAGAAACAACATGATTTGGTTATTTTTTTCTATTTCGAGGCTTGAGAAACAAAATGGTCCATCAAGGCTCAGGCCTGGATCTTAATGAAACTCTAGGTTAGTTTTCATCCACCAAAATCTATTTTCGCCCAAAATAGTTTTGCTGAGAGCATGGAGGATAAGGAAAGTGGTTCTTTCCCAGAACTCAGATTTCAAAATGCAGGATGAAACACAGCAATATAAAGTTGAAGCATGGTGATGCACTTAATATACCATAAAGAAACAGGCCCTCCTTTAACTGTTGAAAGATGTGTAATAGTCTATCACAACACAAGATTTTCTGACCTTCTATACCTTGCATATCAGCTTGCTTGTTTTGTGGGACATTGTGAGATAAACAAAGGCTTATTTTGCAAGTCCGATTGCTTGCAAAACAGGATTCCAGCCTATGTAGCTTATATCAATTACATAGTTTACATATTAATAGAGGAAAGTAGAATATACTAACATATTGGAAGACGATGATTTTGCATTCATGATCGGGAGAGAGGGCATCCATACCTCTGGTACACAAACAGGGCTATTAACAGGATCAAAGCCCTGGGGTCTTCTCATTAGCAATGACCTCATTAGCAAAAATATATTCTATATTTCTCAGCAAATATAGAATATATTTTTGTCTTGCTTCTTGTCTACCATGCAGTCAGAGACAGTTGACTCATTGCCACTGGCTTAACAATCAACAGCATAGTCTTTTGCATGTTTCCCCCCCAGAAATTAATTGACTAGTAAATTGAATGGAGTCTACTCCTCTAGTAAGTGCGTTGAGGATTTGCACTCTTAAGGAAGCTTCCAGATTAGGTCTTCTTTGTGGGATTTCATTGTCCCATTCTTAGAATGTTATGAAAGCTACAAAATTGTATTGTCTTCTATTTATAGCCCTTCTATGTTTTCACTAAGGAGACAGTGTAATATACTTGACAGCATGACAGAATAGGAATCAGATGACCTGGGTTCCAGTTCCCAGTTGGAAATGGAAATTATCTGGAGGGTGATAATAATAAATCTGCTCCTTGACTATCTCATATACCTTGAAAAGCCTTTTAGGGTCATCTTTAGTCTGATGGGACCTGACGGCAAACAACATAACTGGTTTTCTTACTGCATCTTCCATCTTTTTTTCTTACAAAACCAAACAATTAATGAAAACAAAGATGGAATAACTGTACAATCTCTTTGAATTGCTTGGATTAATAGCTCTGATCTGGAAACATCCTAGTTCTTGCATATTACAAGTATGGATCGCAGCTTTTCTGTGTACTTTTAATTAATCTAATAGAGAACAATGTGGATCTTCTTTGGCAACAGAGGTTCGCACCTCATTCCTGCATAATCATAAATCCCTCCTGAAAAGGGTCCTCAGAATCAACAACTTGTTCATTTAATTACTGTGTAACGAAATTGCTGATACTTTAGGACTTTATTAAATCAATGGCACTCTTCTAATGCTAGAAACAGTTGTTTTCCTTAATGTTAATTAATCCAGAGCAGAGAATGTTACTTTAAAGACTGGATAGAAGATATTTTCAAGCAATCCATAAATAAGATTGGAACCACCACTCAGTTATTAATGCCTTTAGCATGTTATTACATTCATTCTTCTCACATCAACATTTCAAGGTCTAAATGAATTATACTATGACAGCATAGTATTAATAATATTGATTACATTATTAGAGTAAGTGGGTATGTACTCACCCAAAGTCATTCCCTGTGTGGAATGAATATCCTTTGTCTTGTTCTCTTGCTCTGAGGAAAGGGAACTAGAAAGTCATCTGAAGCAAGCTATAGATCCCATGAAAATGATTAGATTGGACTTCCTACTAAAGTGAGTGGGTAGTATTTGATCCACTCAACCCTTCCCATAGATTTCTTTCCATATCAAGAAGAAATGAATGCAATTTTTTTTTCTAATTTTAATATTTAATTAACTCAAAACACTTCTTTATTTTTTTTCTCAGAAAAAAAGTCCATATGCTATCAATCATCATGCGGGGAATCCTATTGTCACT